ATGGTGATTGGCATTAGAGCGCGAATAGCGGACATATTCAGGCTAAATGCTGACAGAAGTTTTATTTAGATGGAATTATCAGAAACATTTGGTTTGCTATTCTGTGTGAGTGTAACCACAGCTGTGGCATTGTTAGAGCCGCGCGCACGTGTGGAGTTACTAGGCGGCGCCGGTCAGTCTGTCGAGTCTCTATGTTTATGTACATAGTATAGCCTGGGGTCCCCCGGAAAGTGTTGAATACTAATAATATGTGTGTGTGTGTGTAAGGAGCACATTTTTGACGTTTAGCAGCTGTACAAATATTTGTTATGACTATATGTTAACGATATCTGCCGTACACATTAAGACATAATACCAATTAGTAATTACTATCACTATAATAATATGTTACCTGTTTAAAGAAATATTCTATCCTATAGCACGTTCCCTGATTCCTAATGCCGCTTTCTGTCTCAATTACTATCTCTAATTTGAACCTGGAAATATCACTAATTTAACAAATGGCAAATAATATCAATAAAACATAATAGGGGGGTTAATTAAAAGAAGCTATCGAGTAAAGTGAATTGTTGAATGAATGTACTTAATTCAGAGTAAAACTATAAAATAACAACCTTTATCCTATAAGTATAATATGAATATGATGATACAGCTTTGAGAATTGAGAAGTGAAGAAGTCTGTCATCTTGCAAATGAAACCACCAATCCGTTGTACGAGGCAGCTCCAGGGCTGGTACCATATGAAACATTCGTTGATCCTCCTTTTTAATATTATCTCCTAAATTATTGCGTTAAGGTTTTAAAAAGTAACTGTCGAAATGTACGTATTTCATGACAAATCATAGACTAAGAGGGCTAATTAACCCGACACATCCTTAACAAATACACCACACTCTAAACAAATAGATAGACACGATCGAAATAGACAATAAATTGAACATTCGCATAATCGGAACTTCGGTAAGTATTATATGTAGGGCGGGCTAAAACAATTAATCTGTTTGTAAAAATACGTTATAGATTAATAACTTACCTTGGGCTTGAGCGAGTCCTTGACAATTGACGCGGACGAAAGCAACTATCTCGAAGAGGGAGAGAATGGAATTTAGCTAAAATAGAGAGAGGGTTAAACTGAGAAGAATAAGAATGCACAGTTGCGTTAATAAAGACGCTGATAAACCTGATTGTTACACTGTGCAGATATGCGAAAACATACATTCATCGACTTACGATAAACAACGAGAACGAATAATCACAATATGTAAGTTCCGTATAATTGTAGGCCTCATTAGCCTACAAGCATTGCAAATAATCTCAGTCATGGATTGTTGACACCTAGGCCCAGAGACCGTACAAATTAGAGAGCTGAGGCCATTAATCATTACAACCGGATATTGCTACTGACCTAGGAGGCCACAGTCTTAATTAGTAATTTCGGCTGCAATTAATCAAGGAGCAATACCGCTAGTTCTAGAGTTCTGGTTAATAACAAGTATCTCAGTTCCATAATTAAGAACCAATAAAAACCATAATTATACGGCTCGGTGGATGCCGGAAGGACTACCAAGAATCACCACCGGAAAAAACGTCATGTTATTGGATTGCAGGATCAAGCTCATCGGCTGACTCACAAGGAGTGCCAGTAAAAGTGAATCGTAAAAGTTACCTCTCAATAGTTAATCAACACTTATATAGTTTCGTTTTAAAATTGTTTCCTTAAGTTCCCGAGTTTCATTTCCGAGTCTACAACTAACTTGGAAGCACTAACTATCCGGAGCAAGTCTAACTCACTAACTGGTAGTTACATAATAGTGAAATTTAGTGGACACCTTTGCCTTATTCGGAATATAGTCAAGGAGTGTACGGGGTAGATTAAAGCGCCAAAGAATGAGTGTAAACTAATGTATTTATATTATATGACACACCTTGGAAAAGTGGACTGGTTTGTACAGCGTTTCATGAACTATATCCAGCTCATGTACTGTCTAGACTCTAGATCTGTTGCTATGGCGACGGGGACGGGTTACTAAGGAGAATTATGCAGTGTAAGAACTAAGAAAGAATATTATTATGAGTTAGTGAGGAAGGCTATATGCAATATACCTAGGAAAAATGTGCTGTTGTTATGTTAAGTTAAATTGAGGACAGCTTTTTAGTTGTCTGAAGGAAAATGTTGGACAGTGTCGCAAAGTTAGGCTGTGTTTAATGGGTTTTGGAGTGATTTTACCGTAGAAGCTTGTTACGTCTTTATACTCTCACCTGCATGTGCAGCAACATCTTGAATAGCTGGGTACATTGTTACATTCATAGTTATAAACAAACAGGCCGGAACGGTACCTTTGAAATAAATTAGACAACTGAAAACAATTAGACAATTACTGACAACCAACTCAAGGTGATTATATCTCAAATTTTGCAGATAGAAACTAGCTCAATCTTACACAGATTATCCGTCCTATAACCACCATACTTTATGGAAAGTTTAAAGAAAATCGTACGGTAGGATCCGACATAAACTATTGTCCGAATAAACTATTTTCTGAGTCGGACAGATGTCGCTGTCGGACAGATGTCGCCCAATCTGCAGTTAGTATGCTTTTATGTCATAAACAGCCGGTGATAATGATATACGGTAATATTACGGTTAATTTGACACGACAACTCGTGCATATTCTACTTAAGGCTGTCTCCATGGTAACCAGAGTTTAAAATATTCTTCATCTTACATTATGCGGCAGGAGCTATAACACTTAACATATTTTAAGCATTAACCATGTACACACTATTACATTTTAGTTAAGCTCAAATAAATTACACTGGGCGGTTGCCTTTTTCCACTAAATCCTTCTAGCGAATCTGGGTAGAATGATAATGCACAGTGCGTTAATAAAGACGCTGATAATCCTGATTGTTACACTGTGCAGATATGCGAAAACATACATTCACCAACTTACGATAAACAATGAGAACGAATATAATAATCACAATTGGTATCGATCATTGTTTGGTTGAGATATTGTGATACCATGAAACAAATAATTGAGCTTTAAACACTTCCTTGTGAGGAAAAATAACATTGAGAAATACGTACTAGAGTACTGTTACGAAAATCAGCTGGTTCATAAGATCAATGAAGAAAATTCGCAAACACGATTTAAAACAGAATTATAGCAACGTAATCGAAAGACAAACTGAACTAATAAGGATTTCGTCCTGAAACGAGCTATATATTGAGTATAACGTAGCGCTCGACTCCAATTTGAATTCAAATAAAAATGCGCTCCGGTAGTTTCAACTCCCAGCAGCTGGGAGTTGGAAAACTGGAATTCCCGTTACTGTCGCTGTGCATGAGAAGCCTTATTAAGTGCGCGGCGCGGCACAGTAACGCATCGCGCTACAAGGTTTTTGGCTCATAACTCAGTCATTTTTTGTCCAATCTTGATGAAAATTCATATACGAGTTCAGGGGACCACTAGCTACAAGTAGAGCACCTAAAATCTGGGTTTTGGGCATGTTCAGGGTATTTGGCTAAATTGGGCCTAATTTGGACCAAATATGGGCGTGGCTGCCCCGCGGGCACCGTTTGGCGGTTGGGGTCCGGGACCCCCTCAAAAGTTCGGTCACCGGTCCTAGTTTGTTGGTCAACTGCTATCTCGAAACCAAGTTTCACAAAAAATTCAGGGTGAACCCCCAGCCTTAAGTGCGCGGCGCGGCACAGTAACGCATCGCGCTACAAGGTTTTTGGCTCATAACTCAGTCATTTTTTGTCCAATCTTGATGAAAATTCATATACGAGTTCAGGGGACCACTAGCTACAAGTAGAGCACCTAAAATCTGGGTTTTGGGCATGTTCAGGGTATTTGGCTAAATTGGGCCTAATTTGGACCAAATATGGGCGTGGCTGCCCCGCGGGCACCGTTTGGCGGTTGGGGTCCGGGACCCCCTCAAAAGTTCGGTCACCGGTCCTAGTTTGTTGGTCAACTGCTATCTCGAAACCAAGTTTCACAAAAAATTCAGGGTGAACCCCCAGCCTTAAGTGCGCGGCGCGGCACAGTAACGCATCGCGCTACAAGTGACAAGATGTGATACAAAACCCTTCCAGATCGTTCCTTTGTAAAGCAACGATTGTATTGTCATACGTTGTATGACCCGCCGCGCACGAGTGCGCGGCTCCCCCTGTATCGTCGAAACTCTACAATGAAGCGACCGTGGGGGTCACCACGTGATACAATGATTGTAGTGATCAGGGATTGAAATAATTTTTCTGAACACGCGCATTGTGATTGCGAAGCAAGGATGGTAGTTTGCACGGCGCGTCGAAGTCCTAGTCTAATGCTAATGTCTAAGAATCACGTTACAATTTACTGGGCCGCGCTCAGCCAGTCATTCCGCCGAATCTATATTTTATGTGTATGAACATTATAGCCTGGGTTCCCTTGCCCTTGTATCACGTCGTGACCCCCATCGTTGATCGTCGTTTCACTATAGTATAGTTTCTACGATACAGGAGCCGGAGTTACTGGACGGCGCTCAGCCTGTCATTCCGTCAAATCTTTATTATGTTTATGAACATAATAGCCTGGGATCCCCTGGTAACAGGGGGAGCCGCGCACTCGTGCGCGGCGGGTCATACAACGTATGACAAGGGGTTCCCAGGTAAGTTGTGAACCGATTCACCGCCCTGGAATAAAAACTGTATCTACTTTCAGTATTGCCAATTGCATTGCATAAGCATTGCAATTGAAACCTTGAAGGATCGGAGACTTAAAGTTGTTAATAATAATATTATATTTGCATGCAGCCTAGCATAAAATTAAATGCAATATCAGATTATACGACCCCAGACCCTCGCTGTTACCAGTAACTGATTTTCGAATATATAATCGTTTTATTCGACATCTTATTTTCAGACTCAAATTACTCGATATAACTATAAGTATTAAGCCATCATTAGTATTCAGTATTACTAATACTATTACACATTAACAATTAAAAGCGATAGGCAAACTTTTCGATTATAAACGCGCAAGAGATCGTCATATTTTCAGGATTCGATATAGTTCACAATCACAATTTCTTTATTAATCATAAAACGAACCATTGCTTGTTGCTAGATTTCAAAACTTTGCAATGCAATCACTCAAATTCAGCTTCAATTTGAAAATGTTCTCTAGCTCTTTAAATCGTGGATATATATTAGACAAAAGCAACTGCAGCACAGGGTTTATTTATACTCATTGTTTTGGAAGGGGTATTTAAAACATAAAAGCAATGAAATTTTAAACAGTGGTCCATTTTTGGCCTGTAATGGTATTTATCACAGTTAGCTACGATCACCAAAAAACGATGAATCAGCAACAAGATACCAATCAGCAACAAGATACAGCCTGTGTTTTATTCTATCGTTGTACTATTGTCTTCATGAGAATAAGTTCTAAGTTAAAAACTGTCATAACTAAAAGATGAAACACAATGCAATGGGGCAATAATTTAAATTGTCTTTTAATTTTATTGGGCCCCCTTTGCTACACTTTCGTAAAATGTCAATCTGCATTCGTTCTATGTTCATTGGAAGCCTAAATGTTTACATCCCTTCGCGAGGTCACCTGAGTGGACGATGAAGGTTAGAAAACGTGTAGATATTATATCAATAATGATACATGATACCTAAGGCTAAACAATGATAACAATCAACAATGATATCGGTATATCTTAGATTTACAATTTCGTGAAAAACATGAACATTACGTTCCGGCAATAAATTTTAATCATAGCAGAGAAATGAAACATAACAGAACCAAAATCCTTCAACCACTCACCAGAAAGCTTATCGAATATCCCCAAGCGTGTTCGCTTGTAAATACAAAGGAGATAAAAAGGAATCCCGGTGATAATAGAGCCCACTACAGCCCCATACTTCATTGCGAGGTTCGGAAAATAGTCGTCTGAATCTACACTTTTCTCGAAGAAGGGGGAAAGGACCATTACCAGGGATAAGATGGTCTGGATGATCGGGATGATAAGTGGAGCCTGAGTGGGATTGTGTGTGAGCTGTTACACTAACTGCAGTAACCAGTAACTATCAGTAACCAGTAACTACCAGTAACCAGTAACTATCAGTAACCAGTAACTATCAGTAACCAGTAACTATCAGTAACCAGTAACTATCACAGACTATGTTACAACTGAATGCATTTAAATAGTAGCAAATTTCAATAGGAAGGAAAAGTTTAAAATTCCAAACAAGTTTCGCCAGAGTCAGAGTTATTCGTTTGATCAGAATTATCGGAAATATCAAAAAATAAAGTACACAATACCCTGAATGGTCGCCTCATGTTAGGTCTCTTGTAGCGGAGAATGAGTAACCCGACAAACACTAAGACAAAGTAGACCCACTGAGCGTACATCACCGTATCAACCACATCTGAAGCATGCTTACCCGCAATTATGTAGATTGAAGTACAGACGAACTGAAACAGGACTAGTTATATACTTTGAACTGCGAGTGAGCAGCTGGATGATTGACTGGTTATCAGTATCTTAGTATAAGCTACTTTACAATGAGAAACTGAACAAATATTTTCTAACAAGATTTTTATTATGAATCCGGGTTAAAATCTCACCCTCTACTTAAGGCTGAAAGTTGACAATCCAGCCTCTTGAAGACCCCACACCCATACTCTCTCAACCCTTTCACTCGGATAATATAAATAACTGCATTGCCAATAGAGTTGAAATAATGTGTGTGGAACATCAGGTTCCAGAGCAGAGAGGACTGTTCTAGACTCATGTGCTGTGCTAGAACTGGTTTCTTAGCGGTCATGTCAAATGTGTAGATAGTTGTAGAGATTACGAAAGGAACGTTGAAAATCAAGAAAACAGCTGTTATGTAGAGCATGGTGACTGTTGCGCGCCATTTTCTGTCAAGTCCATGAGAAATGCTTGCGGAGGTTTTCAGGCGAAATAGAGAAATGCAGCAGCACAATATGATGATTATAGAAGGAAAGGTGAACTGGAAGGTATGGAGAGAGTGCCTTATAATCTCGATCATCACGGGATCAAGGTAAGGTTTAAAAATGTCCACAGTCCAAACACAGAGGTTTCCGGTTTTCCAGTACACATAGTGCTTACCAAACCAAAATGGTATAGTGTTTTGAACCAATTGCAGTGCTAGATAGGACAGGACTGGCACAGACAGGTATTTTCTGGGAATTACTTTCAGAGGAAACACCATGGAGATTGTTCTAGAAATAGTGAGCACCATGATCAGAAACACGGATAGTTTAGCCGAAATCACCCAAACGATAGCGTGTACAGTGCACAGACCCATATTCTGTGACAATACACCCGGGTATCTGGAAAAGAAATCCACTACATGGAAAAGAGCACTGCTGCACATCACGCTATCAACTGTGTTGATGCTTAGGTAAATTAGTCTGCTGTTTGACTGGCGTGATTTCTGTACGAAAAAGCTCAGAACCACAAAGTTTAGAGGTACACCAAGCAGGAATTCCATTAAGGATAAGGTTCCAAAAAGTGTTGATTGGTATTGAGGAGTAGTGTTCATGGCATCATTTCCTAGGGCGGTTTCGGGGGGAACAGACATCCTGGTACTTACAAAGTTAGGATGGTTAAATGCTTTTCACTGTCTAACAACTTAATGAGTTAAATACAGTCTAGTGTAACGTGTACATGGACACACGGAGAGGAAAAGAGAGAGTGAGAGTTTGGGAGGGACACAGGGACACAGGGACAGGGACACAGGAACACAGGGACAGGGCTCCTAGTCCTACAACTAAAATAAATCGCGCAAAAACAACTGAAATAAATAACTGAAATGGATAACGTTGCTGTTTCCTGAAACTAATCCAAGATGAAAGGGTGCTCAGCCATAACTCTTAGACACACCAATAATAACATACAAGATTTTATCACAAATTGCGCGTTTTAAACGTGACTGTTATTAAAACGGGAAGATATATTGCATTGGCTAGACATCTGTAGCATACTGTATGCAGGTCGAAAATTATCATAAGGGGGTCGTTTTTATAATCGACGATAAATGCCGATTTCGTCTTTAGCGCCTCAAATATCATCAACCGTAAAATATTCGATAATAAATACCTAACCGCTGCTATGGTGTTCTCGAGTCAACTAATTGTCCGGGTCATTGCTTTTGCATCAAAAACCCACGTACGATAATTTTGATAAATGATAAATTTTATGATTATATTCATCGCCTAATATTAATTATAACGATTTCGTCTTCGGAACCAACAAAATTAGCGCCTCAAATATTGGCCTTCATCGTCGACCGTTAAATATTCGATCATAAACACCTAACCACTTCTATGGTGTCTGAGTTAATTAATTGTCAGGGCCATAGCTTTTGCATCAAAAATTTAACTTTAAGTACGATAATTTTGATAAATGATAAATTTTATGATTATATTGATCGCACAATTCTAATGGTATTTGACATAAGCGCTGAAACAGATTGATAATGTTATAATAGTCTAATAATCAGAGGCAGCATGTAGATTTGGTAACATTTTGTAAATAGTGTGATTCCACACCTGCCTAAAATTACATATTTGCGGAAAATTTGGGGACTCTCAAGTTGGATTATTCAACAACGTAGTATACAGGGTATACATTATTTTCAACTCACCCTGTGTAACGTTACCTTACACAATTGCTGAGCTTAACACATCAAATAAACTTACAAAGTGTAAGAAATAAGAATTATCCTCAGAGAAGGTTTTACATTTTTACAATTAGATGGAACTCGAGTAAAGTCCACAAGAGACCATTATTATAGAAAACTGAGATCGTCCAACATTTGATATAAGCGATAACAGACACAATTATGTGAATAGACTGTTTCCATGTGGCATTAGCCGCCTACCCACCACCATCAAAAGAGTGCCTGCAGGCAACTCAGTGTGTTAAATCTCTATATTCTCATCTCGAGGTAGCGAATATCATAACTACATTTCGTGGCCTGGTCTTGGAGGGGTGTAACTGCTGATTGCCGGCTAAGCACTCTGTCGTGAGCATGCAGTCTCAGTTAATGGAAAATATTAATTGCTGGATAAATGAGTTTTTGTATTTGTGCATTAAAGCCTCGAGTAATACAGTTTGATGTAAAACGCCCTAAAATTCGTCGCTGGATTTCTAAGATCATTTGGCTCCTGCAATTGCCAGGTAAGATACTGAGTAAGGGAGCTGAGCTTAAGCAGTTGCGGAACTTATGACAGGTATTATAAAGTGGCATACTTTCTCAGGTCGTGCGGTCTCTTAGATACTGACTTTAATGGCCGTTATGGTGCGGTCTATAATAAGGGTGTGGTCTTAACATGTGCTCCATAATTATGACTACTGGATCCAGGAAATCGGTTGACTCTAGCACTGGGCACACTCGGATATTTGGATATTCTTACAACATGCGACCTATCAGTCTGAACACGTGGGGACCTACTCTTTATAGGCCAGTCTGTAGCACGTAACTACATGGAATACGTACAACGGAGGTTAAGTAATTAGTTGTGTTAAAAACATATGAATGTCTTGAATAGTCTAGATTACAGAGATTAAGTTTCAACCTTACAGTTTAATACAAATGATCCTTGAATACAAAAATTACAAAGTGTAAGCCGTAAGCGTCCAGCGACCTTGGCATCTTTACAGCGTCTTTAATATTTTAAAGCAACCTTTCCCATAACCCACGCACTCATTACAGCTCAGACCCTGTCTTGCACCATCGAAGCTCGTTCAAGCATAATATCAAGCATATTTGTGCACTGCTAGACGATATTCTTGCAATCCCGTTCGTTGTTGCTCTATAAATGCACAAATTTTGACCCGAAAAATTTCAAACCAACGGCGGTGACGTTCCCAGTGGCGACGTTTAATACTGGAAAATCTAAAGATTAAATAATATCCGCGAAAACAGCTAGATACTAAGATACTTGCAGTTCGACAAAGATTCAAATATAAAATTACGCTTAGCAATATATCAATATTATCTGAGATTATAATATAGTCACTCCGGCTACGGAGACAATTATATGTTTAGTATTAGAGCAGTAATTAGATTAATGAGTAGTATAACTATAAGTGCCGATGGATAATAACGCTAACCAGGCGAGAGTCTTCCAAAACGTGGTTTAGCAAAGATTAAAGTAGTATAATATTGTGTTACATGAGGAATCAATATCATTTGCGACTTCCAGTTACAAACTTAGAAACTTCAACCATAACCGTCTGGGCTGAGGAGGTTTCAGTTCAAGAAAATATTTGAGAGTTCGGAGACCATCGCCTTAATCGTCGCAACTCCCGTTAAGGAAACCAACAATTATTAGCCAATTATCTTAAATTATCAGCCAATTATCTTAAATTCACCTCATTAAACAATATCACAACTACTCTGAAAGGGGGGCGGCCTTGCACGGACCACCAAACTAGACCTACTCACGTTGAAAATGATGGCCACGATGGGAGTAGACCGAGAAGGGAGACAGAGGGATAGTGCACGTGGGAGGTGACCGTCACGTGCACACGCGTGATAGAACCTGAAACACAGCGATTTTAGCAGGTGATAAACGCGTGATAGAACCTGAAACACAGCGGTTTTTGTACGCGACAAAAGCGTAATAGAACTTGAAACATAACGCTTTTTATTCATTATTACTTTACTACTGGTTTCTCAACCGTGAAAGGTGGTTCATGCTAGACTAATGCTATTTTGTGCTATTTCAAGTTCAGGACCACACCACATTAAATATAGGCCTCATGAAATCAATCGGCGTATAGTTATATTGCTTTATAAAACCATTATATAAAATATATAAAGTTAAAGTATATAAGTTTAACTATCCAAAAAGTTTTTAAGACTAAAAATATTCACTTCTGTAATTCAATATAGGTACAGTTCAATAAGGGTACAGTTTGACTATGGTAATGTGAAGTTAGGCCGATTCAGAAAAACTACTGTTTATTCTATTACAAATTGGGCTTGTCTTTATTATGTAACCCGTGTAGGCTTTTATCAACGCAGAATGAGCTCCTCATGGACTTTAATTTCTGAATGTAAGCTTCAAATTTCAAAAATGAAAATCACATTTGGCAGACTTGGTTGAATTCTAGGCAGACTCTAGTAGTATAGAGTTGTCTGCCGGGAGAGGTACCCATTACCCAATACCGCTATTTGGACTTTGGTAACAGATCGCAACTTTGTTGATATTTATTGGTGTCTGTCAGACAAATCTGCCAGATCTGCGGCAGACTCTCCTGCGATATTTGAATTTCCCTCAAACCTGGTAGTGCTGATGGTATTGCTGGACACTGCTCCGTAGGTAGCTGTCAGGATACAGAACGAAGCGAAGAACCATCCCCAACCTCCCCAAGCAGTCTTAGCATAGAGCTGTGAGGGGGTAATATGTCAGAGGATAACATACGGATCTGGGGTGCACAGCTTCGGAGATAATCAAACAGGCTGTCATGTGCCAGGCTGGTTAGAATATTTGAGCACAGCTAAACACCTACCTACCTAGAAATAATAAATTCCTATCTTAAGAAAATAAGTCCTAGATAGTCACTCTAATTGTATGATAAGCGTGAGTGTAACTGTAATGTCTAAAAGATAAACTATAAACAACCCACCAGAATGAAGGGAGAGTCGCCTATCTCATGTACAATGATAGGACCACAGAAGATAGCGAAGTTAAAGAGGATATACACAGCACACACCACTGTTATCCCAATAAATAGCGAGAGTGGGATGTTTCTGTCTGGGTTTATTATCTCTTCTGTCACCCACGACAAAAACGACCTGCAACACATTCAGTTATATATATATATTAGCTCTGTTAGGATTACAATTGTTATTTGTTTTACAAGCACATCTGAAGAACACGTGAATTCTAAAAAGGTCATTAAGCTAGACATTTGGAGAGGTTATAGTGAAAGAAAACTAAAAAGACCACTAGAACTAGAAGGTATACAGTTAAAGAGGACTAAAAAGACCACTAGAACTAGAAGTTATAGTGAAAGAGAACTGAAAAGACCACTAGAACTAGAAGTTATAGTGAAAGAGAACTGAAAAGACCACTAGAACTAGAAGTTATAGTGAAAGAGAAACACTTACCAACCACCATAAGCCCACATACTGAGCATGAGCCCGTTAATAGCTCCATTAAACGTACTGTTGGGAGCCACGTACGGTGTGTCAAACTGAGACCACTCTCCTGTAAATGTTCTCATTTAGTGGAGTTAACTTGAACTTTAATTTAAACTTATTATTAGAAGTTTTATTGGCATAAACGCGGTGGTCTGAAACAACAAAGACCATCCAGTATAAGTCCAGAGTTGAAAAATACGTATTTTACGAATTTTATAAAATATCAAAAATACGTTAAATACGGCGTATTTTATTTTCGTTGAATAAAATACGTAATAAGTGTTATTGTAGCATTGATAGCTCCAATAAAGTAATAAGTACTATTGCTTTATATAAATTTACGATTTTATCAAAACTCGCGTAGCTCTGTCGTTTTTCACCTCGCATAGGAATACAAGGAATACAAGGAATACAAGGAATACAAATTTAAAATCTTGAGCTACAATAGTAACTGTTAAGATAATAACAATATCATAAGATTTGAATTTATTATATTAATATAACTTAACTTAAAGTGAAAAATAAAGATTTGACATAAAATATTTTGTTTTCAGTCGCCTTGGTAATGCTGTAATGCTTGAGCCAGGTCACTTTGCAGTTTGCACTCGTCGTTGCGCGAAAAGAAACAAAAGCGGGTACAGTGATTTTCAGTGTTCACTGTTCATGTACTGGCCAGAGAGTCAACAAATTTCTTGCGGTTGTTAAAACACGTAGTGGCAAACCTAGCAACGACTCTCGTGAGGTGGACTTGACTTTCGTTCGTGATAAGTTCAATGATTTCACTGTTGTTGCTGATGAATTTGAGGACGTTTGCTCCAGGGATGACATTGTGAACAGAATAAGATGTCGCAGACGGTTTGATTGGATTTGATATGAGTGACTGGATCTTGTCTAGGACTTTTCGCCTCGATGCAGCGTTAAGATCACAATGGTTAAGGAAGTGGTCTTCATTCTCAATAATACCAGAACCTAAGACTATATTGCACCAGGAGCATATTCGCTCGTCACGTGGAGTTTGATTATATCGGCCAAGTTCAATTTCGAGTCGATGTGCACTGATCCGCAGTCTTGTGATATTAGCACGGTCTGCATATTTAATGACACTATCTAGGTAATACTCTTTGTTAAATTTGGATTTTAGGTCACGATAGAATTCTAATTTCCGAGAAGTGTTGATACAGGACCCCCAATATTCTCTAAAGTTACATTTCAAAGTTTTAGTAATGACGTGTGGTGTGAATATTTTACTCCCGATGGGTTGTGTTGATTGAGGAGGAATTCGTTTCTTGAAACCGTTGTGAATAAGAAAGTCCTCTTTTGGTGGTTTTGCGATACTCGGGTTTCTTTCGAAAAGTAACTTGGAGTGATTGTTTTTGAGTGTGCGGTAGGCTGTGACATGATCGGTAGAGAAACATGGGTCTAGCGCGAGGACAGGCTCCAAACCCCTGTACCAGTCCAATTTCATGTTCATCTGTTCTTTGAAAGCTAAGGAGACAAGGGAGTTATCTTTGAGATTTTTCAAACGTTGGCTATATTTGAGAGTGAGGTTAATACATTCATAGATTAATGGGTAGCGGCCTGACTCACCCCAGACGCCTGCGTTGCTGGCTTTACGATTTACCCCCAGTGACCATTTAAGAAAGTGAAGGTGAACTTTTTCGCTGTTCAGAAGGCTAATTTTCTTGAGGATACTAGTTTGAAATTTTGTTTTTGTGTCGGCATCCATATTGAGATCGACTTGTTTTGTTATGTGTTTTATGATAGCCATGTTAGGTGTGTAAATAGGCGCTCCGTAAAGAACGATAGGTTTAATAAGACCATCAAAGAGTGTTGTTAGAGAGCGGAATGATAATTTGGATTTGTTTACTGAGCTTTTCATGGCATAAAGTGCACGCATGGCTTTCTTTTTGAGCTCAGTTCGGGCATTTGTGAATGTGCCGGATTTGTGTATTTCGATTCCTAGATAGCAGTATGACTCGACTTCTTCTAACAAGTGATCACCAATTTTGAGGGGAACCGGCTGATAAGTATCAAAACGGGCATTAAATTTCATGAGTTTAGTTTTATCTGCATTAATTTCGACGCCCCATTCCAAGCAGAAATTGTTCAAAGCATCGAGTTGCTTTTGGAGGGTTTTGGGGTCCAGTGCCAAGAGTATCAGATCATCTGCCCATAGTAAGTGACTGATAAGTTGGTTCATTAGTTTCGGACAGTTATCATATTCTAGTCGAGGGGAAAGATCTCTGATGTATATCTTAAATAGATCAGGGGAAAGTGGATGACCCTGTTCAGTTCCTTTATTGATATCAAATTTTTCGCTGACAAATCCAGATAGTTTTATCTGGCCAGTGGAATTTTTATACATATGTTTAAGAACATTAAATGTTTTGCCAGTGATACCTAGTTTAGCTAATTTTAAGAAAAGAGCTTCACGGCAAACAGAGTCGAAGGCCTTCCGGAAGTCCACAAAAACAGCATAGACGGGAACCTTGAGCTTTTTGTATTTAGACGTAATGGTGTTGAGTGTGAGTATGTGGTCATATGTTTGAGCTCCTTTAGCGAAGCCAAGTTGATTTATGGGGTCCGGGTTGTATTCATTTTTGAACTTGATTATCCTGTTTAACATGATGGTCGAAAATAGTTTTCCGATTGTACTACTCACAGCAACTGCTCTGTAATTGTCTGGATTATCTTTGTCGCCTTTTTTGTGTAGGGGTGTAATAATGCTGTTGTTCCATGGGTAAGTTCCAGTGTCCAAACAGCGGTTAAAGACTTTGCAAAGGAGTTGTGTGTTTGTTGTGGACAAGGTCTTCAGTATTTCATTACATATCATATCCTCCGAGGAACTTTTGCCGTTTTTGAGTGAAGAGATCGCAGTAGATATTTCGTCCACAGAGATCTGGCCATTGAGTATTGATTGTGCAGGGGATGGTTGGAAATTATTGTTAATAGCCTCTGCATTTTGAAGCATTTCTTCCTTATTCTCTACAGTTATGGTGCTATGTGCATTGGCATAAAGTTTACCAAAGAATTTTTGAAAGTTGTCCATGTCATGGCAATCAAATTTGTCAACTCTTCCTTTAAATTTTTTCAGTTTTTTGAATTGTTTCCAGTTAAGAATTTTACCAGATTCAATATCTGTATTCAATTTGTCAAGATATTTGTTTTTTGTACGGTCAATTAAACTTTTGTACGTATTTTTTACTTGGTAAAAATTTTTTCGAAGATAATCGCTATTGGGGAAATCAGAAACAATTTGAGCTGCACGAGTACAAGATATTTTAGCTTCTCTGGTGGCTTGTGTGAACCATGGTTGTTTATTTATTGATCCCTTTTTGGTTATTTTGGGATGTTTGGTCTTTTGGTATATGACTTCAGAGTACTGGGCACGTGCTATACCAAAGCATTAAAGCGTTGAAGTTAAATAGAAATGTGTCTGAAAAAAATGCAAACGAATGACATAACTTTAGTCTTTGAATGAAATTTCAAGAAAAACGTATTTTAACGTATTTTTGACATATTTTATTTCTAAGCAAAAATACTCAAAATACGGCGTATTTAAAAATTATCTCACGTATTTTTCAACTCTGAGTATAACCAGCATAAGACCAGTATAAGACTAGTATAATACCAGTATAAGACCACTATAAGACCACTATAAGACCGATAAAATCTGATAGTCGTGATAGAATTGCACAGAAGATTTAATAAGTCTCCAGACTTACCTTTAACAAGCCAATAAGCCCCGATACTACAGATAACCCCAATAGCCCCCACTTTAACAACAGCGAACAGTTGGTTCATCTTATCTCCCAGTTCTGCGCTCAGAGCGTTGATTAGAGACGCAACACCCACTATCAGGATTGCAAACGCTCCCTTTATGTAGGGGGACTGGTTAGCTAAATCTTTACTCAGTTCCGTACCGTTCTTTGAATAACCACTGAAATGGGAGGGTTTTGTCAAATAGTTCCCGCCTCGAGAGATTTAAAAATCGGAAAAACTATCCAGTATTCAAGGGAGAATTGCTTGAAACACCAACGAGAAGGAGATTGCACTGATTTTATTAAAGTAACCAGCAGAATAACTAACTTCTGAATGTTAACGACGATGTACTCTGAGCAGTAGAGGGAGATAGCAGCCAGGCCCCCTGGGTTCAGGATCAGTGTGTTGGTCCACACAAAGAGGAATCCTACTAAAGGACAGTACATCTTAGTGAGGTACGCCTGCTCTCCTCCTATAGTGGGGTTAGAGATTAGTTAGTTAGTTAGTTAGAGAGTAGTTAGTTAGAGAGTAGTTACTTAGTTAGAGATTAGCTCACGTTATATACTTGGTTATAATAAGGGTTTTTTAAATTGAGAAGATTTGATATGACCAACAGAGTCAGATTAGTAAAATGATAGAATGTAACAGAAAATACCAAGACAGCTGTACCTGACACGTTAATGGATGTTGCTAGTTCAGCATAGCATATGGAACCAAAGAATGCGACAATACCGCCCACAAACCAAACTGTGAGTGACATTAAGGGGCTCCCTCCAGTCTCCATGTATATGAAGTCTGGTAACATGAACAATCCTGAACCTGAAATAATCAGTTTACATGATCAGGCCTTTTTGGATCAGCACACTTGTGCGCACTTTTCATCATACATTTATGAGAAAACGCCACAAAATTTCGTTATTTTGGAATAGAGAGGTGGAAGACCCGATGAGAATAAATGTTTGACAATAAGTCGAATCAGCCAGCGCTCGAGGAACCTACTCACCAATAATAGCACCAATCACAAGAGAGGATCCCCCAGCCAGGGACAAGTTCCGTTTAAGAATTATCTGACTCACTTCATGGTCCCTAGTAACAGCTATAGCGCTGTCCTCTCTGGCAGAAAAATGGGAGAAAATCTGTAAACTGTATTTAGATTTCTCATAAACAAGACACATCATGAATTTTAAACTGAAATAATGATTATCTTCCATTAGTCACGGATCATGAGATGTATCATACTTCTATCGCTCGCCAGCTATTGACGAGTAATGTCTCTAAGTGGTGCTAACCTACACAAGTTCTCCTTCGCCAGTTGACTGGTATGCCTCACTAAGGTGGCAGTCGCCTCAGCACTGCAGTCCCCATCTCCCTTCGTCTTCGATTCCTTCTCCTGAGAATGGGTGAGGGTAAGTAAACTTTATAGAAATTATCTCATTCATGTTATTGTTATCTTTTTATGATACCAAACTGTCCAGAATAGTGAATACTTTGCGCAAGTTTATTGCTGTATAAGAATAAGAGAAGTGATGAGTAAGTATAACTTAGCGTGATTTGCGAAGTTAACAATAGTGGAGATATGTTGGTTCAAAAATGTCAATTCTCGATTTATATTTGCTATTCAAAAACGTAGCAGGAAGACATGGGGGCTACCAGAACTATAAGAGTAGAAGGCAACCCTAGCTTACATAAACACAGTGAATACATTTTACAGATTGGGCGACTTCTGTCCGACAGCGATTCCTTGTCCGACTCCAAAGTATGATGGTTATAGATCTGTGCAAGTTTGGGTGAATTTATATGTGCCAAATTTGAGATATCACCTTAAACACAAGAAAAAAGTGTTGTCGGACAGGAGTCGTGTTACCCATTTTACATTAGTGAACATTTAGGCAGTGGTTATCTGTTTGGTGCCGTGTTTTCAGTGAATCCGTTTGTTTAGTCATTCATTATCCGTGTTTTGTCTGTAGAATACAACAAAAAACACATTTTAGTCATGTTTAGTATATCACGATATAGTTTACCTTCTTTCAGCGATACTCATCGTCTAATTACGGACTATAGGGCATGAATTACGATGTATAATCTTAACTCAATTGTTGTACTAGATATTAAGAAAATATTTAACCAACAAATAGCGAATTCGTTGCCCACAAAAACACTTTATCGCTTCAAGATCTTTAAGATCATTAAGACATTCCCTTCCTCTTTGATGCATTTAGAAATTTGACAATCTGTCAAGTTATAAAGTATCAGTTAATAAGTTATATAATAAAATTAACTAAATACTGATCATTTTATTATGGCAGCTATTATAGCAATATCAGACGCGATTAATCGGAGTCGGTGTCACCTTGAACCAAAACATTCAGACGATCAATGTCACAATTCTCACAAGAATTGAAACTTAATCATTATATTTCACACAGGGTGACTAACAAAGTTAATGTACATTTCCACGTTTCAGGCAATATAAATAGCCCTCCTATTACGCGTCATTACTAACTTTGTACATGTTGGTGACTAAAATACTGCAAATATATTCTGTAACATTCTATAAGAATAACCCTTACTCCTTAGCAAATAACTATAGATCAGACTGATTGGTATGTACTGAACAGTAGATTTATAATTTGTACCATCACTATCATTATCAATTAAACCAAAAAAGGACAGCGATTCTCAGCGATCCTGAATTTCAAAATAGCATTTGCTTCATGACTCAACTCTTTTTCAGTTGACAATTTTCACTGGTTTTGTTTTGCTGGCCTTTCGTTTTAACTACACCAGGTCCCGTCTTGTAGGCAGATAGAGTAGTCTTGGTCTAGGTCCCTCCTCTAAAACAGACTGGCTGCTTTTAGTCATCTTCTGTCAAGTTTAAGCAGAGTCTGTCGTTGTAGAGTGTAGAGTGTAGAGTGTAGAGTGTAGAGTGTAGAGTGTAGAGTGTAGAGTGTAGAGACTCACACTTTATCAGTCTAGTAAAGTGGCATCTAGACTCTAATCTACTCTACTCTACTCTACTCTACTCTACTCTACTCTACTCTACTCTACTCTACTTCACTTTACTCTACTCTACTCTACTCTACTCTACTCTACTCTACTTTATTCTACGCCAGATTTCCGAAAAATAAATTCTGATACTAATTTGATAAAATCTGCCAAAGATTTCACCAAGAACGATTCATAGATTTAGTAAATTAATTATAAAACTTAAAAATGCTAAGCTAAAACATTGAACAAATGAGAGTGCTGTTACGGCGAAACTTGGCAGGCTCTAACCGATGTCAGTTCTGAACCGTCGTACATTAGATCAACTTATTTGAATATACAAAACAGACACCTTCCACAGACTTTTGCCTACTGTAGGTACTGTCTACCAAGCATGTTAAAGACTGATAAAACTATGACTGTAGCCTAGTGACGAGTCGTTTAAATGTACTGTAAACTTGTGCCCACCTAGACCAACTAGACCAACTCAGGTCTACCATACTCGGAATCTAGGCATATAGTTTTCATCATGGTCTCATGTTGATAAAGAAGATATGCCGGAAAATTCCTAAAAGTCTCCCAAGTGTGGTACAGATTTGGCAGAGTATGCGTTGCAAGATACGTGGTACAACCCTGGTTATACAGCTACATATTTAATATAGGTTAGCCATACTTGGTCAACATTAGCAGGGATGTTGGCAGCGTATACAATGTCAGGTAGCGACTGCAGTGAGTCCAAGGAACCATTGAAGAGCGGAACGGTCTCGCTTACAGACATCAAACTCTCAACCTTACTTCACGAAACACCTCAAAAGCGAGAATGAACGTCCTAAAAGCTGATTACTCCAAAAGACTGATGGCTTAACCGATATGTACGGTATACCCCTAGTAATTATACCAAAAACCATCTATCTTTACCGGGCAGCTGTGTGGGCCCCTGTGTAATACTCACTTCAAATATTACATAGTCGTCTATCATTGCACTTGCCCGCTTTCCGTCACATGCTACTAATCAGGCCGCAAATCGGTAGAGTTAGAGCACAAAACGGGTCCAGCTGGTTCGAATTATCTGCGAGGGCGGCTCAGCAAGAAGTGTTAACGGAGAGAAGTAACGGTAAAGCGGAGAGACTTGAAACTATAGGACCCACGTGGGCAGGGTTATAATTCGCACGTGAAACTGAAAATTAACGGTGAATTACTGCTAAAAACATGGCACGTACTACGTGGTTGTAATTAGGGTAGTACCGGACGAATTAGGAGTTCAGCTTATAATGATGTTATTTAAAGAAAGGATAGTGTGCGCAATGAGCATGTATATAAAACTGCTTATAAGGCTGAATTAAGTTTTTAGAGGTCGGATGTAGACGTTGTTCTATGATGCAGCTCGAAGGGAACTTAAAAAGTGCAATTATATGTTATTGTAACAATTTTGATAAGAAAGTTAAATAAGGTTTTCGAAGGAGTCAATTCAATGCAAGTGTAACCGTAAACCATCGAATGTTTTCAGTATTAATTACTGAAGTTGGCATTTAAATAAAAGATTTTATATATTCGTTCAGGATGGTTATGATAAAAATTGCAAGATTAGTGTGAAAATTGCAAACATACCTGAGCCATAACTAAAACCACGCTACAAAGAAACTCAATCCCCTATTAGGACCAGAATGGAACTGATACTACGGCAAGTCGGGAAAGAATCACCATGACGAAACTGGCATTTAATTAGAAACATAATGAAGAAATTTATTTAATTTCACTTTCATGTGTTCAAGAATTGTGTTACATTAAGTATCCTCGGCGAACATTCCAAAATTTCTTTCACCATTGTCTGAACGAGGATTCAGAAGGTTAATTTTATTTAAGTACGTGATTAGAGGAGGGGCATGTTGTTTTCTTCATTGTTTCTTTTGGTACAACTGCTAGGGGTGACTCTCTTCAAAGCTGCATTTCGTCTAAACAAACTCTTCGCAAGGTGGCATCACAAGAAGTATTTACACGATTACACGATTTTTACACGATTAGAAAATGTATTTGTTATACTGGAATAATAACAATTTTAAAATATAAAATAAGTCACTTCCCTCTGAAGTAGAACAGATGATGGGAGAGCTTCAAACATGGCGATGGAGGGAAGCGGTGTCTCACCGCTGGGAGGTAAATTAATACCCGTATCGCGATGGTAAAATTTTATGATATGAGATCTCAAGTAAAAAATAACACAAAAAATAAAAAGTGAATGTTGTCAGTGTAGTGAAATCGGAGGCAACATTAATAAAGACGTATACACTTAAACCGTTACAATTATAGTCCCCATCTTGTTTTAAATACTCACAATAAAATACACACAAAAAACACACAAACGTCCCCAAAACATTAACTTCAATTTATATTTCCCTAGTTGAAATTAACTTATTTTATGAAATTGATACATTCGAGAAGATCTCGTGATTACATGGTAGCCATCCATGATCCCCATTTAGCCCTAGGTTTTGTATATGAAGCAAATGGTTCTTAAATCTCTTTTTAAATAGTGAAATTGACAAAATATGATACGGTACATCATGATCAAGGAGATAATTTAAAATTTTGGATGCATTAAAAACAAAATTACTATTCTTGGTCTTAGACATTGAGAATTTAGGATATAGCAGTCTGCATGATCTACTTGACTTGCTAAACCGGCGATAAACATCAACAGGAATTTGTTCTTTAAGTAGCCTCATTGCAATACATCCAGTAAAGTATGTAAATAAGTTAAACAAGGTTAATAATTTCAAACGAAAGAACATTGGTTTCGTATGTTGAAACTTGTGATCAATCTTTGTTGTTTTTCTACTCACAATACGAATACATTTTTTCTGCAACACAAACAGTTTTTGCAGCAAAGGATGGTGAAAAACAGCACCCCACAGTGGTATACAATACATTAAATATGGTTGAACAAGTGAAATATATACTTGTCTTAACACTTTGGCTGGTACTATAGAACTTATGGAGTAGAGTGATCCGCAAGATTTTGAAACTTGCGTTATTACATTGGTAATATGATCATTCCACGTTAAATTAGAATTAATAATGACTCCCAAAAATTTACACTTATTCACTTGATTAAACTGGTTGTTAAGTATTCCAACAAACTTTTGATTCTTAGGAACTTTACTACTTCCGAATTCCATAAAACAGCATTTTTCAAAATTAATGATTAACCTATTTAAGCAGCAATAGTCGTGAATCTTTGATAATACCTCATTAGCATTTTTGTAGAGTAAATTTCGGTCTTTATTTTGAAGAAAAAGGTTTAAATCATCTGCAAAGAGGATAAATTTAGCTAACTCACAAATATTTGCCAAATCATTGATAAAAATAATGAAGAGCAGGGGGCCTAACACTGACCCCTGTGGAATACCACAGGTTATTTTCAAGAGACAACTTTCGAATCCCCCATAGCTAACATACTGAAACCGATCTGATAAATAACTGTTTAATAATTTAATGACATTTCCTCGAATACCATAGTTCTCCAGCTTTTCTAACAAGATATTATGCCGCACTGTATCGAAAGCTTTGGAAAAATCTATAAATATACCTAATGTAAAATTCTTATTATCGATAGCATCATGAAGATTTTCTACTGCTGAAACAAGTGCATGAAAGGTTGAGTGCTTACTGCGGAAACCAAACTGATTATCACAGAAAAGATTGTGCTTATTAAAGAAATCAGATACGTTTTTATGTATTAACTTCTCGAAAATCTTAGCAAAAACAGGTAACATTGAAATAGGACGATAATTGCTTATATCAGAAATAGATCCTTTATTCTTATACAAAGGAATTATTTTTGCTGCTTTTAATTCTTTCGGAAAATAACCTTCATTTGCACATTTATTAAAAATATCAGCCAGTAAAGGACTTAAAGTGGTAGCTAAAAGTTTGAGGACCCTAGGAGAATAATACGTACCCTTGCTATTATTAAGCTTACTTATAATATTATTTATTTCTTCACTTGAAAAATTAATATCCGATAGCTCGCTTATGTTCCTCTCAGGCATATATTTATTAAAATCTGTTAAATCCGCGTTAGCATTTTCACCATACGTTTTTAGTAAAAGATCATTAGCAATATTAACAAAATAATAATTAAAATTATGCGCTGCATCTTGATTAGGAAAAACTAGTAATCTGTTTGATCTCTTCCTACCTAGTAAACCGTTTATCAGTTTCCAAGTCTTTTTCAAATCATGTTGATTTGCTTTAAAACATTTATCAAAATACTCAAATTTTTCTTTACTTCTAATAGCATCAAACACTCGTTTGTAATCAACATATTTGTTCCAATTAACTCTAGTTTTATTCATAACCCAAATATCATAGAGTTTGTTTTTAGTGTCACTACTCTTGGCCACTCCTATTGAAATCCAATCAGAGCGAAGAAGAGAACTATTACCACTAGACTTCTGACTTTTAATAAACCACTTATCATACAGAGTTTTAAAATTTCTGTCAAAAAAGGAATACATATTTTCGGCAGAATCACTTTCAAGATCAAATTTTAATAATTTAAAATCATTCAAAAACCCTTGTAATAAAAAGTCATTAATATTTACTTTATTTCTATTTCTACACTTTTCGTTAGGATCAAAATTATAGTCCAAAACTACGAATGTAGGAAGGTGACGACTTATATTACATCGTATAAGGCCGTTACAAATTATGTTAGATATATTGTTAGTAAGTATATGATCAATACATGTGCCATTTAAGCCTCCAAAATGAGTAGCACGTGAGATAATTGGTAAAAAGTTATTGCTAAACATGCAGTCTAAATATCTCCTAACAACACTAGAATTGGAGTTATATAGATTTACATTAAAGTCACCAAGAATATAGCTTTTGTGTCCCTTAAATGTGTTCAATTTACTTAAGATACTACCAAACATATCGATAAATGAATCAAAGTTTCCACTTGGTGATCTATAACAATTAACAACTAGTAACTTTTCAGATTTAACTGTTATTTCAACACAAAGTGATTCAAAATCAACGGTAGAATAACAAAGCTCAAATTTTTGATTAATATTATTAAATTTGTCACGCAAAAACGTTACCAAACCAGAACCTTTGTGTTTAAGCTTTCCATCCTCCTTCAATAATCGATTAAGTACAAATTTATTATAACCCGGTATGTAAAATGGTTGTGACTCATGTTCTGTTACATTAGTTTCACAAAGGAAATATCCATCAGCTTTGAAACGTCCATGGTGCACTAAAAAGCAGTCAAAATTTGATCTGAATCCATCAATATTCAAACTTAATAACGATAATCCATTGTCGTTCATTTTTTCTTCAAAATCATCTAACTTATAATAGACGCACTGACGCAGTATCTGGCTGCAATCTTGTAAATTCTCGCTAAGAGTTTCAACATCCGGGATAAAATCTATCATTTCATTGTAATAATATTCAAAAGGGGCAAAGAACGGTTGTTCGGAATAAAAATCAGTTTCAATATATTCAACAGTACTGGTAGTAGCAGTGTTTAAGTCAAGTAAGGGTAAGGGCATACATGACGAACAAATATTAGACTTAACACAGTTCTTGTGCAACATTTTGAAACATTGTTTACACTGTGCAATCTTTTCATTAAATATATCAATATTTGTTAAACATGTCACACACTTATAATACTCAATATAATCGTCATAGCATATTTTACAATACCATACAAATTGCTGAAGTATAAATATGGTACTATTGTCTAGCTTTAAACAAGATCCATGATATATGTCCTTACAGTTGTTGCAACGTAGAATGAATTGGTGAAAGTACAAAATTTTATGACAGAAGACGCAATGCTTACGGTCAGAGGGAATGAGGATGTTGGGAAGGGTCATGTTTGAAACTCCGTCATCCATAACTCTCTGTTAGAAATATTAAAATCTGAAAAATAGTTGTATTAGAATTATTCATCTCACGGTGTGAATTCAGTATTGTTCAAAAAGGGGCTCTCACAAAACAAAAACTCTTTAGGTTCAAAAGTAGGCACACAAATCAACAAATCAGCAGTATTCCTAATCAGCTTAGGATTACCGTTAGCATTCATTCTCAATAAAACATTCCCATTCTTGTAGTCAACCCAACAAGAGTTTAGTCCACCAAATCTGACAGCATCGTTGACCTGCCCTAATAATGCCGCTCGTTTATATGTTATATTGGGCTGTACCCCGACACCCTTTTCGGGGTTCTCAAACAGCAATTTCTTTTTATCTGGGGAAATGTTTTTAGTGCTTTTCCTATTTCTAAACACTTTCTGTGCTGTTGATCTATCTTTGAAGCGAGCAATAAACCTAGGGGCTTTACCCTTCTTGCCCTTCAAGGGATGAGCGGCTACAAGGTCTTCCTTAACAATGTCCACACCTAACTGTTCACACAACAAGACCACTTGGTCCTCACAACTATTGCTCTCATTAACTAGCAAATTGGTAAAACAAACGTTTTCCCGACGTGAGTATTGATCTAAATTATCTAGTTCCACTTCTAGTTTGCAAATCGCATCCGCTTGACGATCGACAACTTTGCTGAGCTTTGAGTTAACGTGTCGAAGTTCCACGAAGTCGTCCAACAATTTAGCATGATCACTACGAGCTATACTAAGTTCGGTTTCTAGATGTTGCATAAATTTCCATAACTCTTGAACTGATCTTAGTTCTGACTCACCGTTGGAAAAGTGAGGTAGCTGTGGCTGTTGTAGTTGTTGACGTGGCATCTGATCGTGCTGATAACCGTTGCCAAACTGAGAAGTCACGGGACAGTAGGAATTACGGGAAGCCTTGCTCTGTCGGCGATCCGAGTTTTGTTGAGAATTGCCATGATGAGACATGTCTTCAAATTTCAATAAACAGGCAGAGCAAGATTTTTAAAACGAATTGAAAGTAGTGATAAGAGATCTGAAAGTAGTGATAAGAGATCTGAAAGTAGTGATAAGAGATCTTATTTAAATATACATCAAATTCAAATTATTAAGGACTCATATAACAGTTCCGCAGAACTAAAACCCTGAAACAAATAATGGTGGTCATTACAAAATTAGGCCAATTAAGATTGCCATAACACATAAACACAACCACCCATGACTGAGTCTGAACCAGCTGGCCCCCTCCCTTCCTCACAGTCGGGAGATTAGATTATGTATCGGAAGTTTCTCCGCTTCTCAAGTACCCATTATGCCGGCGCTATTTGGTACTTTATACTTATAGTATATACTATATAGTAGTATTAGTAGTATGTACTGAAGTTTATATTAGAAAATTAAATTGGTTGAGGATAATGGAACGATGGCCGAGTGATGAAACTGATGTGATGTTATTGCAAATTACCGGGTATATAGTGTTGAATCAGGGTGATGTTATTGCAAATTACCGGGTATATCGAGTTATCTTTTAATTCACCACAGTTGGGGCCATCCTCATCATTTTTCATCACTATTGTTTGGAAAGTATTGGCCTTGAAAGACAATATCAAAAACCGTGCGGCACGAATCGGGAAAATTGGAGGAAATCGATGAGGATCAGAGAGTTAATTGTTCGGAGAACTTAGACGGAATCGACTAATCGAGCCTGCAGTAATTAGTAAATTCTATTTCAATATGCATTTACAATCGCTGCATGACTGAGAGCACGCGATTTGGGGGTTAACAAAAGAACTAACGTAACAAAATATAACTAGCAGAATTTGAGGATGATTCAAAGAATTTGAGAGCCTAAAAAGAGAGATTATAAAAGTCTAGTCAACGAAAATTTGACAAAAGTCTGAGACGATTAGCGCTGCAATCCTATAAGGTTATAGTTGTTTATCAGCATGTATTCTTGTATTGCAATGGCCTAAAGGGTTCTACTTCTACTTAATTAGCAGCATTTTTTACTGCCGCTACAGAGCTTCAAGTTCAACCTAAAAAGAATTTTAGTTACTTGCATTGAATTCTGGCATATATATAAATCTGGCTATGGGGTTTACTGGATTAAAAAATTGAATAACGAGCATTTTCCAATGCCAAAATAGTTCGTCGGTTTTCTTCAGTTAAGAAAATGATATAACCAGTTCAAATTTAGTTTAAAATAAGCTAATAAGGTAGTCATCATATTTCCAGCAGGTGATTTAAAGGTTATCATTACCTCTAGTGGTATTTGTTCGTACTGGACCATATTAAAGATAATCCTTCTCAACACCAGTTAGATAGATAACTTAACTCCTCAATCAATCATTCCTCCTCCTGAAAAAGTAAGCAAATTCGTAGAGTACAATTATTTAGCCGATGAAACAAGATATAATTTGATCAACTTTTAATTACTTCCCAATGGAATTACTTCTACCATTTACAAGTGTAATATACAGTCTAGACGATCATTTTCTCAGACAGATTTATGTTCAATTCCAGTTCCTGTTTATGATAAATATCGTAAATTTCAACCAAGAATCGTTTACTTTACACGAAACATAATCACCGCAGAATCCATACCTTAGACTGATTATTGATTAATGTGGCAACATCGATTACTTTCAAGCGTTAAGTAAGTTATTTAAGCGCGTTAACATGGTATGTTCAGCATGCGGACTATTAGCTTATTAATACTTTAATAGACTATTAGCTTATAATAGCTGTAAAGGAACTTACGTTGGTTTAGAGTTAGCAGAATTTGAACGAACAATATGGGCAAGCAATACTTCAAACAGGTCACAACAAAGCTAGACTGAAAAAGGACGATTTATTAATTTAACCCTATTAAATCCTTATAACTGTATTATATCAGGCAACCAAACGTTTTTACGGGACGTGATCTGAGGCCCCTATACTAAACAAATCCAGCACAAAGAGCTGTAATAATCCAATAACAGGTCTAAAACAGGACAGTTTGAGAAGTGCATGACTGCTCACAACAATAAACAGGCTGAAGATACTTTAGACATTGTGTAGGGCACAACAGGGAGACTGGGCTATTTTCACTTCCATGGCGACTAACAGGATTATAGGGCATTTCCAGGCGAATGATCCTCGCTCTCCTCAGCGTACATTCATATATTGGAGTATCGGCGTGTGTATCATGTGTGTTGTGAAGTAAGATGGTGCTCGGTAAAGTGCACTGATTAAATAACCTAGTCTGGTTACTTCCGTTATACAGCTCACATCAGGGTAGTGATCAGTTTAACGTTATAATGTAGCGTATAGATGGTATACAGATAAACTAGGATTACAAGGTGGTAGGGGTGGGGTTACTGTTAGAGGGGGGGGGGGGGGGGGGGGCTCATAAATAATCTTGATAAAAACACTTTAACTAACTATAACTTTAGAATAGATGAAAGTAATAGCTATCACCGCCAGATCCATTAGTGGTGGTGAGTGGTGACGCCCCTAATCCTACGGGACATGAAACCTCCTCAAGCCACCACTTATTTATAGACCATTGATATTGTTAGATTGTGCCGTAAAAATGAATAATTTTTTTATTAAATAATTGTTTCATTATTTTACGAGCTATTTTCCACTTCTTCCACTGAAACTGTGTTGTGCTAATAAGTGGATCATGTCATCTAGTAAACTACAAGTAATGCAGATCCACTAAACCCTTTATCTCAAATTTGCCTCGATTTACTGGTTAGATGTCTAGCAGGAGAGTACGTGTCTTCATGCTTGCTGGAGATCGACAATATAGTCACTTTAACGCAGATCAATTTGACCATATCGGTTTTATAACTTGACATTATATTTATACATTCACAGATTGTCGTAGGGCACAAGGTAAATTACAGGTCTTGCATTGTGAATAAAATGTATCCGTTACCATTAGCTCTTTTTTGCTTTGCTACATGTGTTCACAAGCGCATGTTTTCATTATTTCTTAAGATCTAATTGTTTTTATCTTAAGATACAATTTTTTCACGAGCAGTTGATAACAGATAAGAATCTCCTGAGTCCTTGCCAGCTTTATGCCACTTCGCATCTATCACGTGATTCTCCGAGCATGACCCACCTTGTTCAATCATTGGAATGTTGGTCAAGATTCCTGTCTGTTTTCTCTTCTAACTCTCTAAGATAACAACATGGTATCTTCAATAGAACCCTACTCATGATTAGTATTCACAGAGCAGTATAAACGTGACACATTCTTACTGATATTATTTTAGTATATGTATGAAATCATCATGGATGTGGTGCTATCGTTTTGGTCACGTGTTACTGTATTAGTATTACATGGATCTGGTGATCGACTGACCCAACGATCTAACATGATCTTTTCATTTTATCACTGAAATTTTACCAAATAAATTTGGTACCTGACGATAAAATATATCGCCTGCAATATACTTAGAAACTTTTACTCAATTCATTTTGACATTTTGGCATTATGACAAAATTTTGACAAAATTAATACTCAGTATCCATTTTGACATTTTTGAACCAGAATCGTATATAAAATTAATTTCTTACTTCCCCTATTACTTCCCCTATTATTAGTACTGTAGTCTCAAGTTGTCAGAAAAGATCTTTGAAGTCACAATTGATGATATAATAGGAGGCAGTACTGAGTAATCGACACCAACGATGCGTTACAATTTGCAGGCCGTGAATGAAAATGGGAAAAGCGAGCGACCAATTTCATTATCGGTAACATTATGCCTCCTCGGGAGTCTGGAACTGGCCGCCAACTCAGTTGGACTCCACCTCAACGAGGGGAAAACTAAGTGCATGGGAATCAACATAAGAGATGATGATAACCCGACTCTGGTTGCTGGGAGCGGAAGACCATTGAGAAAGTCGATGACTTTGTATATTTGGGTAGTAGAATGAAGAGTTCGGAGAAGGACTTCGAAGTGAGGAAAGCTAAGGCATGGGGAGCGTGTCACCAGATGAAGCTTGTATGGAAGTCGGATATGCGTAGAGATGGGGGGCATACAACGGTCATTAATGTGCATTAATGGGCATAAATGTGCAAAATTTTAAAATACTGCCATTAATGACCGTTGTACACCCCCCCCCCCCCCCCCCCCCCCCCCCCCCCCCGTAGAGATCTCAAGATACGACTGTTCCTGGCTACAGTTGAGTCCATCCTTCTGTATGGCTCTGAAACGAAACATGGACTGTCAGCCAGACCCTCGCAAAATGTATTGATGGATGTTATACGAGAATGCTGAGGATGGCACTTATTCTTAACATAGACTGGAAAGAGCGGCAGACTAACGCCAAGGTATATGGACACCTCACCAGAGCATCTGATAAGATAGCTGAACGGAGGATGAGACTGGCAGGTCATCTAGCCAGACATGAAGAACTTCTGAGTCATCAACTTCTCTTCTGGGAACCCCTTCAAGGACATCGTCGAAGGGTAATACCACACCTCATATATATTGACATCTTTCGGAAGGACACGGGGCTTGACGACAGCAAGGAGATTAACAAACTCATGCTGGATAGACAGATTTGGAAAAAAACTATCTCTGTTCGTTGAAGCCGCCCTAAGTCAGTCATTATGCCTTTTGGTATGTTCTATTTCATATTTATTAAATAATTATGATTTGCTACAGTTTTATATAAATAAGAGGCGATTAATTTATAGTGCTACGATTGCCTGTGGCGATCTCTACAGACTGATAAATAGAAACTATTTAGCCATGCAGCATATTTAGCATATTCAGCATATTCAGCATATTCGGTATAAAACTATGCACGATCTGAGTTATGTAGCTAGGATTGAAGGATACGTTGGAAGCTCGTTCTACTGCAGTTGACCTGTCTAATATCACGCGCACTCGAACGTCCGGTGAGGCTTTACTTGGCTAATTATGAAGCATTATTAAGATATTCTTAATAATATTGGGGTGTCATAATGCTTCTATCACTATTTCCTTTCATCACCTCGACTAACATCACACATATAGAAGCAATACAGACGAAAAATATTGTCTAGCCCGAAAGTCCCAAAAGTAACCCATATTGAGAACTGCACCTATAAATCTACTATTTTTTAGTCTAGTTGCAGTCGATATGGTCTAGAAGCACTACAAATGTCATATCTCTAACTTAACATTACCATGGTTTTTAAGCACCTGAATATGACGATTTTGAGGGTTTTTTTTCAAAAACCGCATTTTCGTATGCAGTGCTGGCGCATATTTTTGCGAATTTCGTAAAAAATCTTCATTTAGCTTTTTTTCCCTGTCATAGTGTCATCATTAACATTGAATTATAATATTTTTATTTTAAATAAATATACATCTGCTAAACGACTTCTAATGAGTCTATTTAAAAAAAGTAGAACAATGAGCAAAGGGGGCAGAAAGGCTGACGGTCATGCTTACCAGCACTGTGATGTATTTCTGTAATGATATGAGGGGTATGATCAGGGTCCTGACGGTTCCCAACCGTGTTCGGCCGTAAGCGATCGTGCGAATTTTTATTTATATACCAAAGCGTTTACAGTATTAACTATTCTACGTTTCATAGTTTTTCTCATTTAACGATCGACATTGTAAGCTTTTAACACCTTCTATTAACTTGTAAACTTGCCGAAGGTCGTGTTACCTGAGTGGATGGAATTTAAATGTTTGCACCCGCTGATGAATGATCCTTACTGTGTCAAACTTTTTTGCAGGTTTGGTTTAAGGTTTTAGGTTCGGGTCGCTTGCGCGGCTCAATTTTCACGTGCATCTTACGCTGCTAATCTTTAGTACAGGTTCGAGTGAGCTGGTGGTCTCTTCTCTAAAATCATACCATCAGATGGCGTTGGTCACTATTTGATAGAATTCTCTTAGTGAGGGAATGTCTCAAAAAACAAAAATAGAAATAAAATTATATGTAGGGAATACCAATAAAACAGTATTTAAATAGAAAGAAAATAGGAGACACGTGGCCAATGGCAATCATTCACTCCATATCTTTAAAAAGTACAGTAAAAGATATTTCGTGGACTCAAATATGAATTATGAATAAAAGTATTCCAGACACTATTATCAATTATTGAGATCGATTGAAATTGCAATTGATGGAAGGAATTTAACTAAAATTTGTAAGAATGAGTATTGATAAACGATGGTTTGCATTCACTCTCAGACAAATTATCATCGGAATGCAAAGTTGATCGAAGCTGTTTATCAATATCAAAGTTAAATCGAAATTACGTCTATAAACATCAGTATTGATTACCCTGATACTGCTTTCTATCCGGTTGCGTAATTATGTATCATAATTAGATAAGTAGAAATTCATTTAAATTTGTTTTTAGACTTCCGGAAACCACTTAAAATCAAGAATCAATGTTAATTCCTTTACAATTATTTACTTGAATTATTCATTAAATGTTTTGACAGGTGTAATGAAGATATGTGAATTACCTCCTCAATGACGGAATTTAAAACCAGCAAAAGAGGCAGCTTCCTTATTGTCGCGACAACATAACTAAAATATATATTACAGCAATAGGGCTTTGAAAAATATCAAATCTTATATGTAATGGTATTTTAACTGTTAAGGACACGTTCATTGAAGTTTGAGGATATTGGTAAATATTAGTGACCCTACTGAACGGCACGATGATGTAAAATGTGTCACACTATGAAACTATATAAACCCTCTTACCCTAAGATAATCGTTTCATCCTCTAGATAAACTTTGTCGCATAACGATATCTATATCAGACGATAAGATATCGCTTAAATGCGGCCGGCAGTGAGTTGTAAACTTTGTCACACTATAAAAACGTGACGGAGTTTATATGGACCCCTTGTTGCCGTGTTTGACCAAATTTTCGAATTTCCAATTCATAGAATAGCTGTATATGACTATTATCTACATATTTAGCGACTTTTTTCCTTAAATGGTAGCTCCATGTAAACTCTGTCACACATTTAAGAAATTTATATGAGGGATGTTTATGACATCCTGACAAGAAATGCCGAACAGTCTAGCATTATTTTGTGAGCTGAATGTGTTTGGAATTGTTCACATATTTCATTGTTATAGGCAAATACAAATACAGAAGGCAGAAATAGGTAAATT